AATACATACAGTCATTTTTTGTGATTTTTTTAAAATGAAAAAATAATTTTAAAGTATAGTCTTATTTTTAGTAAAGTGTCTTGTAATGAAAATACAGGCTTTCAAAAGTCATCAGACAATAGATCTCATTTGGAATGAAGTATGTTTTGTCCAACAGTGATGATCTTTCTGCTACCAAAGTCCAATGAAATCCTGACTTCACGTTCTAGTGAATCAGGGCTTAATTGTTTTGACTGTAATAACTCGGTGATCCTTGTGGTTCCTTCCAACCCTGACAGATCCTAATCTGTTTTAGCAGAGGACTTTAGAGCCCTAATAGCTCAATGGTTGGACTTGATCTTGAAGGTCCCTTCCAACCTAAAGGATTCTATGATTCTATGAATATACTTTGGGGAAAATATTTGGGTTTTTTTTACTTTGTAGAGACTGTTCAGTCTGAGTTTAAAAACAATTTAAATCTTGTTGTTCTCACTTGTTTCTGTTTCATTCCTGTTGGGAAGACTGCATGTACCTAATTCGCATATCTTAACAATTTTTTGTCACATTTTGCCAGCAGTCTCCCCCCACTCCTCAGCCAAGTGCAGTGTAAGAGTGCTCTGAACTTCACCCCTCACATTATCAAAGTCTATTCTAAGTTCTGTCAAGAATAATTTCAACATTTTTTTAGAAAAACTGCATTCTTTGAAGTGCTCCCCGGCGTCTTGTCTTGCTTTGATATTTTTACTTTAAAGGGTATATAATGAGGCAGTTGCAAGTATAAGCTGCTAAGTTATTATGCTCATGAGAAGTTACTTTGCTGGCTGGCTGTCTTCCGCTGTCTGGTTTTCTGGGTTTATCCTTCTGATTTTTGAAGGCTTTCCGTTGTTCAGTGACTAGCCAGCTTCCTAATAGGTTCTGACAGTCTCACACAATATTCTTGTAGCCAAATTATGATGTTATGGTCTGGATGGATGGGCAACAAGATGGATAAATAACTGGTTGGCTTAGAGGGTAGCAGTTAAGGGATCATACTCTACCTGGAGGCTGGTAACAGCAGCATACTGGTCTTTGCTGGAGGAGGTGATGGAGGGCACTTTCACCAAGCTGGCTGATGACCCCAGACTGGGGGGATCAGCTGATAGAGCGAGGGCAGCGCTGCCAGCCAGAGGGACCTAGAGAGGCTGAAGGAGTGGGCTTACAGGAAAATGATGAAATTCAACAGGCACAAACACAGCAGCCTGCACTTGGGCAGGAGGAGCCCCTGCAGCAAGAGCAGAAGGTCCTGGGGAAACGGAGCGGGGGAGCAGCTCTGTGGAAAGGCCCTGGAGGTGTGGGTGGGCAGGAGCCAGCAGCACGCCTGGCAGCAAGGGAGGCCACAGCATCCTGGGCTGTAGGAACGGGCACGTGGCCAGGAGATCAAGGGAAGGGATTATCCTCCCCTGCTCAGCATGTCTCCATGCTGTGTCCAGTTCTGGGCCCCCTGGTACAGGAGGAACATCAAAAACCTGGAGTGAGTTCAGTGAGGGACTGCTTGAGGCTTTGATATCTTTAGTGAAAGCAGAAATCCCTGAGAAGAGTACTTGCATACATTTTATGGTCTGGTTGAATAAGTCTACAAAAAACAGATGGACTTTGAAGGGGGGAAAATAGGCATTTAGTGTAAGCTCTGGGTTTTCTGTTAATCTGTGCCTTTCTCTCTTTAGAACAGAGACATTTATGGATTCTAATTCACATGAGAACTATAAAGTAACATAATAAATTAATTGAAGGAAAGTAAGCTGGTTGGATAACAGTATGAATGCACCAAAAACCCACCCGTTTGGGCAACTTGACACCTTTCGGTCCAAGGGATGTGTTGGCAATCTGAACAACCACTGTTTTCAGTTCCTGGGTTTTGTAGTCATTCTTCTCATTTGTTTTATTTGTAGCCATAGTTATTCAGGAAATCTGTTGTGCATAACTGGAAAATATTTTAGATTAAAGTATAAAATGGTCACTTAGCTTGTTGGATGGATAGAAATTCTAGGTTCTCTGGCAGAACTTTAATTTGTAGGAATTGTCAGGCACAATAAAGCTGGCAGAAAATAGGTGCCCTTTACACTTGAGGTAATGAGTTATAAGCTGTTGTAAGATGTTGTTTCTTTGGTGTTTGTGTTCTTCCAGCATCTGATTCAAACACTTAAGATACAGCATTTCCAATTTTTAAAGTAATATTTTGCATCCTTTTAGTTGTGTTCACTTGAAAGTCATAGCTGGTGTAGAATTGAGGTCACCTTGTATTCAGGTTATGATGACAAGTCTTGTAAGTCTACACTTAAGTGTGAATTAGTGTTTTCTCCATAATATGTTTTTTTTTTTTCCATGCACAGCAGTGTGATTAAGAAATAGGTGCAGATACTAATTCAAAGGTACAATTTTATGTTGAAAGGGAAAACACAATAATATTTTAAGCGTGTCAGATCTCAGTGATGTCTGTAACAGTTTGTATGTGGATGTAAACGGTGTATGAGGGTGTATGGATGATACTTTGTCTTTCTCAGAACCCCTTTGGTCCTGCCTCTACTTGGCGTTTTATAAACACGTAAAACTACACTTGGATTATGGAAAACATAATTCTGAATAGCTTTGTGAAAGGTACAATATACCCATTTTCCTGTTGGTTCAGGTTTGACTTTTGGCTTCGTTTAGCCACCCTTAGCAGTTCTGACAACAAACAGAAACCCCACACGTAGTGGTTTGGTTTTACTTAGCCAAGCAACTTTTATTATACCTGGCAGAGCGTGAAATCGTGCAGCAGCGTTCTTGATGTTAACTCTCTGTAACTGACTGTGGAGAACAAGCCTGTGCCTACTCTTCAGCTGGAGAGTATTTTGAGTTTCTTTAGAATATGTCAGTACAGCAGGCAGCTGTTACCATTTAGCTTGGCCAGTGACAATTTCAATAGTTAATGGGATGTTTTAGGCAAAATGAAAAACAAACAAACCAACCAGAGGGTGAGGTACTAAGAATAAAGTTGCATCAGTCTCATATTTGTTTGAATACTGTCCCTGTTCTGGGGATAAAAAATATCCTGAAGTACCAATAGAGAGGGCAAAACTGTCAGAATATATTATGAGGAAGACAGGAAATTTCTGTTGTCGGCGAGCGCCGCTGGCTTTTCTTCTTACAGTGGAATAGGATTTCTGCATCATACACGGGGTTGTTAATAGCTGCTCATCATCCAGGGCTGCAGTGAAGGAGTTGCTCCGAGGAACAGTCACCGTACACGGCCCTGTAATTGGCAATAAAGATGCATTGACTTAGAGGAGAATGCTTTCCTTACTGTACTCTGACATTTTACTTCAGAAATCTGCTCTAAGAAAAAGATTTCAGCTTATTTACTGATGTTTTAATGGATGTTTGGTGTGTCGGGCCAGTTTTATGGCTCCTTTTGGCAACTTGCACAGCTCAGTTGCTTCTGGATGTGATCTGTGACCTTGGTGCAGGCAACAGAGTGAATTGCTGCTCTCTGATGGTTTTGCCTAGTTTAATAAAACATGTTCTGCATTCGGGTAATAATCTCCATAATGGTAAATGCTTTTAATGAATTGCCTTATTGTAGAACATCGTTAACATAACCTTTTCCCTGGAAGACTGATATGATGCTTGTCCTAGAAATCTTTATGCTCTTCCAGGATTTACCCATATGGATGCCATATTCTAGCTGTGTCTGTCTGGTATTTAAAGCTTGGACTTTTGTCACCCAGTATTTGTTGGAGCTTCCCCTAATGAGTAGAACAGCCAAGACCAGCAGCTCTACTTGCCTCACCTATAATTTCTGTCAGCAGCTCAGATAGCAAATTCTTTTTTCTGCTTAAACAGAAAGTTTTAGACTGGTTTAGAAAAATGGACAGAGAACTCTGAGAGGAAGGACTCCAGCTTATATATTCTTCCTAAAAAAGCATCATTTCCTAAAGCATAGTCTAATAGTGGTCTGGCTAGAGTTAGTACTTTGATAGTTAACACAGCTTTTTATTCTAGAAGACGTTATTTGTCAGTAAATGGCGTGATTCTTTTCTTTGTATGTCTCTGACCAGTCAGTGGCTCTTGCAGAGCAAAACAGGAGGAAAGGTGTTCTTCCAGTGATGTTCAGCCTAATTCTTCTTTAGCTGTAGGGGGAAGGAGGACCTGCTGGAGACCCAGCTTAGACACCTCTAAGCAAATTCAGTTGTATGCCTGGACAAGCTGCAGAAACTGGCCCTTTCTGCTTGGAGTCACAGCAGTAACTCAGGGCAGTTGGCTCTGCTTTTGGTGCCAGTGTCACGTTGATGCTGGCACGTTGTTTGCTGCTGTGTCCAGAGGAGTCCCTGTACGTTGACATCCGTGGCTGTGTGGTGGTGGTGTTGAAAGCAGCACTGTTCTCCTACCCCCTGTCAGCTCGGGCTGCTGCACAGTGCCCGGCGGTGTGGACCTGCACGACATGTAGGGCACACTTCAGAGGACATTTCCAGTCTGTCTGAAGGCTGACAAACCCAGAATCTCACAGGCATGAGCACACACACACGTGTTTTATGTGTATTTATATGTATCTACCTGTAAGCATACATACATCTGTATCTCTCTACTTGTATCATGGTGGCAATGCACAGCAACATTCAGATTAAGAGTGTTAGTTTTGTGTGGATTAGGTATGTACAATAGCAGAAGCACTGTTATCTGGTAGCTTTTTTTTTTTGGCAGAATACTGAAATCCCAGTCCTTGTTGGGACAGTGCTTTCAGGTGTTGCCATTTGTACAGTTCTGAGACATCTGCCTCAAGATAAATAGTTATGACATCATTTTAATGTGAAAATTATGCTGCCTAACACAGTATTCTTATCCTTTCAGTTTTAAAATACAGTTGCAAAGTGCAGAAGCCTTCTTTTGTAACAGCTTGTGTTAACAGCCTGTCAGTCCTGAACTGGTTCAGTGGCTTTTGAATTCTGGGTGTCAGGGGGATATACATGCAATATTTTATTTGTTTGTTTGTTTTACGCTCAGCTGAGCTGGATGCTGAACATGCCCAGAAGGTTTTGGATATGGAGCACACCCAGCAGATGAAGCTAAAGGAGCGTCAGAAGTTCTTTGAGGAAGCCTTCCAGCAGGACATGGAGCAATACCTTTCTACAGGATACTTGCAGATAGCAGAGAGGCGAGGCAAGTTTTAAAATACTTTTCTGTGTAATCCACAAACTCACAACTTGGAGAATCTTCTTGAGGGGTCAGGGTCAGCAGTGGGTTTAATGCTTACAGGTTAAGTATTGCAGTGCCTAATTTCTTTTTAGGTGGAATTGAAACATCAGATGAGCTCTTTTAAACAAACTTTGGGTTCCAGGGGTACTAGACACCTTAGAAATTCTATCAGTCAGACTCTCTGCTTGTTGTCTGAGGAGATGCAGAGCACTGAAGAACATCTGGGACAGCCCCTTTCTCTGCAGCTGGAGAGTGCATCTGTATCTGTAAAGATATGGATGGAGGTGACCCCTCCTGTCTGATGGAGTTCCAAAGTCTGGGATTGCCACCTGGCAGGAGGTGCCTCAGAAAAATGTTAGAAGTGCAAATGAAGGATCAATGTTGTATTTCAGAACGGTTCCAGGTGGTCGCTGTTTCCATTGTCTCTGTAACACACAGAGTATGTGATTAGGACACGGGAGATGAAATTAAGCTCTCTCCCTATTATGAGATGACTCAAGTCTGGCATCTCCTGACTGAAGTACAAGAATGTCATAGCCTACAGACGCTCCTGTGTGGGAGGCACCCATCTGTTGGGCCAAAATGCAGGACTGCAGGACCAGGAGGAAAGCAGGCGGGAGATTACGTCAGACGTGTGGCAGGACAAAACGTTGGGTGCCTGTCCCTGCTCCAGGGCCAGTCCTGCTGTCATTTGTGGTGCTGGAGCAGGGAATACCATCCAAGATTCCCACGTCTGCATGAGTGCTATAAACGCTCATCTGAGCTGCTCTGGGGTGGTTGCTAGGACACTCTTCTGAGAAGGGGGGTACATGAGTTTGGATTCCTTTGGTCTAGGAAGGAGTTGAGTTTGGGTCTCCTGCTTTCTGCACATGTCTGTAGTCCACTTAGGCTCAGAGTGGGCATTGTCATGGGCTAGCACTGGACACACAGCTCTGTTGGAGCGTTCAGGTACCTAACTTGCTGAACTTCAGCTTTCCAGTATCACACAGAACCCATGTTTCAAAGAAACTGTTTTAATGAGAGATTTGATCCTGCAGTACCTGTAAAACTACAGAGCTATAGTATATTTGGAAAAAGATCCAATCAAACGATAGGATTTCCTCTCACTTCACAGATGAAGGCTTTTAATCATGTTATTGTTAAATTTAGACAATTAAACCATTGTAATATTTGATGTTACACATGCGGCAACTGGACTTATATCTGAGTAACCCTGAACTTACTTGTTCTGTGCTTGTGTGTTTCATTGTTCAAGAAAGAAGATGCCCATCCAAATATTTAATTCCCTTGCTACTTGTCAGTATTATATTGACAACAATAAGTAATTTGCTTGAGTAATTAATAATGTTAAGTCCCCATGCTGAGAGAAGATATTAGGCATCAGCCTAGATTTTATATTCTACTGTCATTTATTAGAGCAGTTGGTGGAATGTGGAAAAAGAATGGCTGCTCTCTGCTAACATTAATCCTTCTCTCTGAATTTTCATGTCTATTTCTGTTGATGTTTACTGATTGTGTGATAAATATTTATGTTTTTCTCTAAAAAGACCTCTGACTGGGGAAATGGGAAAGGAGCATTACAAAATGGAAAGTTTCAGTCTTTGCCCCCGAGCCCCATTCCCAGCGTATTTCTGGCGAAGCTATTGCTATAAATGTTGTTGCTAAAAATGTTTTGGATTACAAACCCATTAGTGGACAATAAATTCACAACAAAGACTGCCCAGAGTACTGTTGGGCTTGGGCTGAGAGTGCTGCTGGGCAGCTCCTGTGGGTGTGCTCCTTCCACGTCCAGTTTAATTGTTACTAATGGGTGCAATTATAGCAGCTCTTGAAGCCTTTCGGGGCAATAACATCACGTACCTGACTGTCAGTTTGCTGATTGCTCTGTTTTCACTACAGAACCCATTGGAAGTATGTCTTCCATGGAGGTGAACGTGGACATGCTGGAACAGATGGACCTAATGGACATGTCTGACCAAGAAGCACTCGATGTCTTTTTAAACTCAGGAGGCGAAGACAATAATATGCTGTCTCCCATGCTGGGTATGGTGCTAGTCATGGCAGTGTGCTTAGAGGCAGTGATACACCACCAAATGGCTCTGGTTTCTAATGGCTGATGTTATCTCATTACCCTCTATGTAGACTGAGTATTTTTCATGAGTGGTTTTTGAAACACTAACATTTAAGTTGCAGTACAGGAGAGCTTGCTGCAGAACTGCCTGCCATTATTGGGCTGTGTCTTTTCTCATCTAGCTGCTACAGCTTCGGGTTCTGTTTGTCACGGTATGGATAGGTGGGGTGTCATCTACTGCCTTTAAGATACATTTTATTCCACAGAAAATTGAGAGGATGATTTAAAATAAAAGAGGATGATTTAACAAACATCGACAAAGTATGCAGCAGTTAGGTTTTTATTTTTAAGACTGCTTTCTTAGAATTTGTCCAGAATTTTGGCATTTTGAAGTAAACTCAGATCAGTTGTATAGCGTAAGATCTTCAGTGAGAGATTCTCAGAGACAGGGTTCAACATAGCAGGCCACACATATATGAAACATGACAGTCTTCTGGAAGCTTCTAAATAATGAGTCTGTTACTGCAGCTCTTTCATTTAGCCTTCTTACTGCTAGTCATGTTAGTTAAATTGGATTAAATTAATCTTAATCCCAAATTTTGTTTATGCGTTCTGATGAACAAAACCAGATTTAGGTTTTGGCAAGTTGCAGCATGACGAGGGATCTGTTTAAAGCAGGAAATCAGTAATAGTGGATACTTTATCCACCAGGGAAGTGTGCTTGCTTAATTAAAACCTTACATTAGTTCTAAAATGCCTTTTCCTAAAACAGTCAAAATAAGTTTCCTTGGAGGAGATTATAAAGCTCCTTTAAACATAGTTGTATTTCTTTTGAAGATATAGGTTGAAATATTTTTATAAAGGTATTTACAGTGAAGAGAGATTTTAAATCCTATCCTATATTTTGGGATATGTGAAGAAAAAAGTTAATAATATCCTGGGGTTATTTTCTTCCTCCCTGTGTAAAGGTGATTATTACCTGCTGTGAACATGAAAAGCTTACAGTGAGTAGTCAAGGCACACTTGACTACTGAAGGATTTTGTGGTTTATTGCAAAAACTAAATTCATATGGCTGGTTTTGGCTGGACATCCAATTCATGCATTATTGAAGTTGCTCATCGTTTGAGCATGCAGGTAATTACAGAACTCAGGTCTGTTTTCCCCTCGATGGGTCTTTGGCAGATGTTGGACCGAGAAGCTTCGTGTCTTAAAACCAAACTGGATTATCTCAGGAAGTGTAGAAACTAATAGTTGTGGTTGTTTTTTCCTAAATAGACATAGAACTTAACAGCACTTGAAAAAAAAGGTCTTGTTTATTTTGTGCTGTAAGTATTACAGGGTATATGTATAGATGGTGTATATTTATTTATACTCTGTATGTGGCCAGGGTTTGATGTTCCAGCACGCAGCTGTAATGCAGCAGCTGGATAGGCCAGCAGCAAGACTCGCTCCTCTGTAGTTACTACCACAGCAGTGTAACACTGTTGTAAATCTGGCTGTGGTGGTCCCAGAGATTCATCCCCCCTGAATCAAAAGGGATTTTTGTACCTGCTTTAGGGACCTGGCACCTCAGTATCAAGCCAAATAGGCAATAGATTTTATTCTTAGAAAAATGAGATGGCTTAAAGACAACTCTTCATTTTGCTCAGTGGAGAGTTGGGTTGGTCAGGGCAAGAGTTGTTTCACAGTTTTACTGAACACCACAGAATGCAGGTAAGTTGTTTTAGTAACTCATAAAAATTAAACCCAGCTCAGGACATTAAAATGTTTTGAATTTGTCTTGCTATGTGGTTTTGGAACACTTCATGACAGTCAGTACGTTGAACCAAAGAATTTACTCACCTCTGCTACTCCAGAAGACTCCTTGTGTTGTGTAAATTTATCTAGTGCATGCCGGTACACACAACATTGAGACAGGTGTCATTAGAGACATCTTTCTGCTATCACTTGTGTTCAGTAGAACTTCATGTACTCCCTGAGGAGGCACCTCAGTGGGCCTGCTGGGCAGCCTGGACTGGCATGACCAGTTGGAGTGGCAGGGTGTTTTCAGTCCAGGCAGGTTGGTCGGCTGTCAGAGCTGTGGATTGCACACCAGGTGCTTGTGTTGAATCTGCTGCTGAAGGCATGTTTGGACCTGAAGGCATGGACCTGCTGAGGGCACGTTTGCACCTGGAGGTCCTGAGTCCCAGAGAGGCCAACGCAACGCCACATACGGGGGTACTTACAGTCGAAGTTTGGGTCTAGAGATGAAGGTGGCAGCTAGTTAGGGCAAGAGCTGTGCCTGAGCAGCAGGTAGTGTGCCTTACAGTGTCTAGTACAAGCTGCTCTTGCCTCCAGATGCTGTTACAGCCATTTTCTTGTTCCTGTTTAACTGGGATACTTGGTAAGACTGTGGGGAGCAGTCACAGGGCAGCGTAGTGTGAACTGATCTGCTAATAGCCTTAGCAGAGGAAAGGTGTAGTGAGCAACTCATCTCCAGCCAACCGTCTGGAAACCTTTCTATAGAAAATCCCAACGGATTTTTTGAGCATTTTCTCACTGAGGTTATTCAGTGCTGAAGCTGGTTGCCCTGACTGTGGAGAGACCCTTGTTAGGTACAGGAGGGAAGGAAAAAGGGCTTTATTTGGCAGATCACAAAGAAGGAGTTTAGTTTCCCTATTTGTCCATCTTATTTACTGCCATGAAGTGCCCAGAAAAAAAGGATCTAAAGTAATTTTGAAAACTGAACTCTCAAACTGCACGCAAACACCACTACACTGACCTTGCTTAGAAGTCTTTTTTTGCATAGTGTATGGAGGAAGCACAATCTTAAAATCCCATTCCTGTGCACTTGAGCTATGCTACAGGTGTACCAGAGAAACCCCTTCCTGCTCTGGGCAAGAATTTGTTTTACTTCTGTACCTTGATTTTTTTTCAGTCAGAACTGGAGGTTACTGTTATTGTCCCCTTCCCAATTACTTTTTATTTAATTTCACACAGGATTTTTTTGTGTTGTTCTGTTGGACAGATTGTGCCTGTTGATGACAGTTCTCAGCACATGCCAAAGTCTGCAAGGACTGTCCCAAAGTCAGGGTTAGGAGGATTAAGTGCTTGGCTAACAGGCAAGCTGGACCTAATGCTCCTGCAGTCTTACCTTATTTGATCTCAAGCCTTAGCAGTACTAGACCAAGTGGGAGCTGTACACCATCAGGAACAGTTTAAAACCAGCCCCTGGCTTGTACTGGAGCTCAGTTTCAGCAGAGCCAACAGGCAGCGCTGTGGTTTTGGGGGGTTTTACAACAGCAGCCGAACAGCCCGAAGGCAGGCGCTGACCCGGTGCCCAGCTGGGTTGACACACGGATGTCTCAGTCCGCTTGCCGAGCCACAGCTTGATGGTGGTTGTTGTTCTTTTTCCACCTGCCAGGGCCCGACTCCAGCACCTACATGAACGAGATAAGCCTGCAGGTCCCGAGCCAGGCTGAGCTGCGGCAGAAGCTGTCCTCGCTGTCGTCCACCTGCACCGACTCTGCCAGCCAGGAGGCCAGCGAAGGAGAGTCTCCAGTCGTCCAGTCTGATGAAGAGGAGGTTCAAGTGGACACTGCTCTTGCTGCTGTGACTGAGAGAAAGGGTGCTTCAGACGTTAGTGACGAAAGTGACTCTCAAACGATTTGAATCTTAAACCCATATCCTTTCAGAATGACTTCGGGATGAATGAACACGTGAATGAAGAGCTTGCCTGTGTAACCGTTTCATAACCGAGCATTAACAGACAGCCAGATCTTTTTACTTAGAAATACTGCCTTTTTACAAAATTGCCAGTTGTGTGGAGGTTGGGGTCTTTTTCTTAAAAAAAAAAAAAAATAATGCCTAAAGCACACACACTTTACCAGTAGTCTTGGGGCTCAGGGGAGCAGTACAACTGTTGTATATACTATGTATAAGAGAATTCAAGGGCAAAGATACAAGTTACTTCGACCACTAACCTTTAAATGGCTGAAATACTTAGACCCGATGTGTAATACTGAACCCAAATTGTTCCTTGCATGTTTTCAGCTGCTGCAACTGAAGATTTAGGATCCAAACCAAAATGAAAAGTGATTTTCTACTCTTTACTACCTACTGTCTGCCTACTGCCTTTGTCTACTAACGCAGCAGTGTCTACTCTCTCATACTTCTTATCCAGGACCAACTTAGTTATCATAGGTGTTAAGGAAAAAAAAAAGCAAAGCTGAGGAGGAGAGATGCGGATTGAAATGTCACACTCCTCATGGAGCAGGTATCTTAGCACTGTATAAACTTACTCCTCTTTCAAGATAAAATAAAGTATTTCTATCCCAACCATGTCTTTTACTTGATTACCCAAGTATTTTATCCATGACAGTGAACAGAGGAGACTAATTCAGCAATCAGGGGAAAAAAAATGTTTTTCTTATACTGTGCACCAGTGTAATTTACTTTTCCCTGGTAACATCTGTTTGACTACACTGATGCAAGCCAGCAATTTAAGGGAAATAAACCTGAACGGATTATAAATTAAGTGCATACATTTTATAAACCTTAGGAGCTGTAGTCATCATCCTCTTACTGCCGTTCTTTTTTTTTTCTGCAGTCTTTTTTCTCTCTAAAATCGAGGTCTGCACATGTCTAACAGCTGTTTCTTGTCAAGTCTCACGCTCTGTTTGCAGGGATCTGCTCTCCTTTGAGAAGGATCCTGGCTCCTGCTCCTCAGGCACGGAGGGAAGGAATGTAATCAGAAACGGCGTAAGTAACAGGCCGAGCTGTGATGTGGGTCCCTCCCAAAAACCTGCCCTGGCAGAGCTGAGGGTTGGGAATGAGGCACCTCCTGCTGCTGGCCAGCTGGGAAGTGGCTGCTTTCCTCGGGGAGTCACTCCAGCTCCTGTTCCCTGACCCCTCTCTGGGAAATGCAGGCGAGGCGCTCAGTACCTCCAGTCAGACATGTGCTGGGAGAGGCGTCCGGCCGCCGAAAGGAGCTTTCCTTGAAGGAGCTGACTTGACTCACTCGCTTTCCAGAAGACAGACAAAATGTCCAAAAAAGTTTTGTTTTTTTATTAAACCTCGTAGTACAAACCTGGAAAGTAAACAAAAAACTGGCAATAAACAACATGAAGTCTTTCCTTACAAGGAAAGAGAGCAGAGCAGCGCTAATAAATTAAATGTCAAACTGTAAGCCATAGTCAGAAGTTTACTGTCAAGAGGGAAAAGTACACAGCAAGGCCATAAAAACCAGACAACCACATTTGAAAACACTTGACTCTGTTTATGTTATTGTTAAATATTCCAAAACAGTTCAGTCTTCTGCAACAACAACCAACAAATTGTATTATAGGACTTTCCTGACAGTCACCACTGGCAAGCTCAGTGCAATATGGGTAGCTACGGTATTGTCGAATTCAATTACGAAACAAAACAGGTTGTGAAAACATTTTCCCTTTTTTATTCCACACATACTGTACACGCAACCAGAAAAGGGCAACAGCTACTCCATTATTATTTCTTGTTGTTGTTCAGTGATGTAAGCAGCACTTATAAATGTTACAAGAAAAACCCTGTAAGCATCCAATCCAACCGATGAAGAAAGTGAAACGTAAGGCTTTTCTTCATCTTGTCTCTTCACCATCCCGCCCCCCTCCCCAAGAAAAGGCTCAAGTATTTAAAAAAATTTACAGGCATATGTACAAAAGGTGTGATTTTTTTTTCTTTTTTTTTCTTTTTTTTTTTGTTACAACATGAAGAGAAAAAATAGACAAGATGAAAGCAAATGCATTTTCACATTCACAAGAAATATGCAGACCTGCTAGTGGCTCTAAATGTGATCATATAATGAAACAAAATTCAAAACAAAAAATTAATGCTTGACTGTGTAAAGGTGTGAAAAACAGCAGTGGAATGGACATGGAATGTTAGAAAGATTGCACGTCTATGACAAAAGAAGCACTTATGGCTTCAATCACTTTTTTTTTTTTTTTTTAAAGGATGCTATTGAAGGGTTTTTGATAAAGTAGCCAACAGCACCAAAAAATAACAGAATGGATTTCCTAATGAAATCAGGCACAGTTTTCCCTCACATGACTCCTCAAGGCAGGCAGTCTTTTTTTTCCTCCTTTTTTTTTTTTTTTTTTAATTTTTATTTTTTCCCCCTCAAAACAGATGCATAGTGATGTGCTGGTAAAAGAGAACATACTCCAAATCTCCTCCTTTTGCCTACAGTTAGGAAACAAAGTCCATCTTCAGCTGCCATAACCTCCCAAAGAAAGTGTGTATTCTCCAATTTAAAAAATTACAAAACTCATCTTGCCGTGACAGAATAAAAGACAGCCAAAGTAAAGCAATTTCTTTCAAGTTTTTTTTTTGTCTCCTATCCCTTTCCTCTCTAGAAAAATCTGCTCACATGACTGGAGAACAAATTATAAAACACATCAAACTTTAACCTATTCAAAAAATGGGTTAAAAGCCTTTTTTTTTTTTTTTTTCACAGTTACCAAAAAGGCTTTTTATTTTTTCAGCCATAGGGACAATACAAATTAATATTTTATCAGCCCCTTGCCTGTTTTAAAACAGTGAACATACGGCAGTTTAAAAAAATCAGACTGCTGTATCTATCTAGTCTAAGTACAAAAAAAATTCAACAGTTTAATGCTAAAACAAAATTAGTTCTCTAAAACCAGAAGAAAATCTTCTTTAGAGCTAGTGCAAAGACAGCTTGTATTCTACAGCAAGTACTCCAAACTATGGTATAATAATTACAAAAAATATATATAAATTGACAAAATGAGAGTGTTGGCATCTTCCGGATTAACTTGAAGCACTTTTGGATGAACTGGAGGATGAAAGCCTAGATGATGGCACGTCCACTGTCGCTCTCTTTCGAGGTCCTCTTTTTGGTGTAGGCTTGCTGATACAGTTCTCAATGCTGCCATTTTTACCAGATACTTTTCCACAGATTTGATTGACTAGACTGATTATTTGTTCCTGCGGGAAAAACAAGACACAGATCAGCACAAATGAGCATCTGCTCTTCCTCCAGGCACTTCTGAGGGGCAGAGAGGCAGTGCTGAAAACAACAGGGGGGAAAGAGAAAACAAATCCAGGTATTTGCACACTGTGCAGAAGCTTCACTCATATCCTACTTACACAAAACCAGGAGCTACATAAAAAGTGCTGTGTAGGTCTGTCCAAGTACTGCCCTTGCTGAAGCTCTCCCTGCTCCAAATTTAGACATCAGCAGAAGCAGAAATGTCTCAGCTCTTGCCACTAAGCAAGAGTTAAAAAACTGGGCTGCAAGGCTACTTCACTGGGGGCAGAAATGTTCTTCAGATTTAAACCCCTCTGCTGAACAAAGTTATAAATGCCATAAATTTAAATCTGCAGTAACACTGCGTATAATTTACTCTTTCCTAAACACTTGTTCCAAATTTAAGCAAGAGATTCCACTTTTTTACTTAGTGTTTGGGTGGTTGGAGATTATTCTCAACTGGTTGTCTCAGCCTAGTGAAGAAAAGTGAGAAGTTATTTTTTGTGCAAAGTTGAAACAGCTTCTCAATTAAGTCTACCTAACAAATCAATTCAATAAATGGCATTTGACATGCAGGTTCTCACTCTCCCCATTCACAGCCCTCCAAAAAAACTCCCCAATAATAACCAGGCCTGCAGTTACTATCTTTCAGAAATGGAGAAACTTTGTGACAGCTTTTTAGGTTTGACAAAAATAATTATCATCTGGTACTGAAGGAGAGGTTTTTTGTTGCCTTTCCCAGCCTAAAATATCTACTTTGTAATCATACAAACCTAACAAAAATAATTATTGTATGTGATTCTGATGGAGAGAGTGGTTTTGAAAACCTGAACAGAATTAACAGAGCTGTGAAAAAACAGGAGTGAGGAATGGAATACGCTCAAGAATAAGAGCAGTACATGAGAATTTCAGAATAACTTCCTGCAGCTTGTTGGTGTTTACCACACTACAGAGGCAGTCTGACTGTTGTCTGGGCTGTGCAGGTTCTACTTCTCTATATCTGCAGCGCCTGATATCGGAACAGAGTCTACCATTAAAGATCAGCAAAGCCAGAAGGGCATGAAGGGCATGATCCTCCTCAGGCTTCCTTCAACCTTTTGGGGTTTTTCCCCTTGCCTTTAGGCGCCATACATCCAAAACTGCTGAGAACCCTGTCTCAGAAAGCTACTTGTACCAGCACTGACCTCTCAGCTGATTGTGTAGTTTCTTCCACTGCTTCACTATGCAGAGTCTGAGCTAACAGGGAAATCCTGCCCCGCTCCCCATCCCCCAGGCGCCCCCTCGGCTGAAGCTGACTAGGAGGGTGAAGGGGCATCACCGACTGCACTGTGGTGTAGCTCCGACCAGCGCCCAGGACAGACCTGAGTTCTGCCATCCTCCCTCGGCCACGTCCCACTGGACCTCTCACCTACAAATGCTCTGCACGTTTGCCTTAAAGAAGGTTTGGGCTGGACTGGAGTCAGTCAGCGTGAGCTTTGAGCTGCCAACAGAGAGATGTGAGCCTCAAGTACAGAGGTCACCACTGATTAATGAGTCAATGCTCATGTTCTACAGCATCTTAAAGCATTCAGTGACTTTACTGTTTGGTAACAGCAGCTTATGCTTCAGGTTTCATCCCTGTAATCACTTCTCCCTCTGTTTCTTACTCAGATCATAATAAACCAGAAAACCCAAGCGCAGTCTCCCGAGGTCCCGGTAGGACAGAGGCAAGGTTAAGTCTACTCCAGGCTGCCAGGCCCAGGGCTGGGCAGCAGGACAGAGCTGTGGTACAGACCTCATCGTAGCGGTACATCATTTTCAGTCCCCGACAAGACTTCTGTTTCTCCACGTGCCTCAGGGCACACTCCAAGCAGAAGACAACATTTTCGTTCTCCTGTACCACCTACATGGAAATGCAAAAGGGGGGAGGGGGAGAAGCACAGTAAGCTCCAAACTGCAGCCATGTTGTGCACAAAGTATTGAGTTATTGTCTGAATTATTAAACCTGTATTTCATGACAAGTTAGTGGAAGGAGACTTAAATAAGAAGCACTACAAAGTGTGAAATGGTTCAGGACATATAAGAATAAAGTACATACCCATTTCTGAGGGCTAATGTTGGCAAATACATGTAATTTTTAAAAACCCCACCAACAGTCATGAAAGCCAAATCTTTATTGATATCTAATATAAATCTCTAAATAATACAGATCTAAAGGTTGCCCGAAAGCAGCCGTTTCCCATTAGTTTAAATGCTGTCTTGAGTAAGGATAAAACCAGAAGCTTGGCCGCAGGATTCCTCAGCTACTGGCTCATTCAGCTGAGGTCAC